TTATTTTTATTTTGTAAGTAAATTTCATTTTATTTTTCCAAAGTAGCGACATCTGTGAAGCCATAAGACAAATTATTTTTGGAAACAAGTTATGGATGGCGCCACCATACATTAAATTTTTGTGGTTCAAGGCAACTGTCCTACGCCTGGTCAGTGAGCGCTAAGCTCTTGAAGGTGAAACCCACAGAACACTAATACCCTTAGGGTGAAACCCGTGTCTTTAGTCAGCGTCGGCCAGCGCACACGCTCACGTCATCTTATCAGTCGATAATATTATTACTTATTAGGTTATTTATAGGTAGTATTATTTGTTTGTTTGGGTATAACTTTTTGTATTAGTTATACATATATTTGTTGTGTTTTTTACTGCGCGATGAAGTTTTTTTGCGTGTATTTTCTTTGAAGTAAATGCAAATATAAAAATTAAGCACCATTAGCATGTAAGGTTTGGTTTGAATTGGGCGTTTAATTTGGTCTATGGTCGTCTAATATGGCCCGGTCGGGTAAGTCGTCCCATTGACGACTAACTCGGCCTGGGCGTCTAAGTTAGCCTATCTGCGGCATTACGGGTTATTACTCGACTCTCTAATCGCTATAGAGAAGAGTTCTCTTGGCAGAGGTCGCCCGTCTGGAGGCCATAATTAACATTCCGACAAATATTATAATTTACACTATAAAAAGCTAATTCAATATTATCAGTACAGTATACAGTATGTAGGTATTATGATTAGATAAGAGATTCCAGAACCTTCTACTGTAGAAACATCTAGTATGTTCGAGTACATATCGGTCCCGAAATTTCTAGAAGGATCTTGACTCTTCTAGTTCTGCTACTCGATACTAGAGGGCGCTAGTAGTAACTTATACATACAAATATACATACTTAAATATATGTATTTAAATATGTGTATTTGAATGTATATGCATGTATTTATATATTTGTATATATGTATGTAAGTATAGGTCATATATGTATAGTTTATTTATTAGAAAAATGTATATATTATGTAGTTAATTATCATTTTTTCTTTTGAGTTCTTTTATTCTATATAAATACAAATACGAATATTTTATGGGTAAAAGTATGTACATTTTTTACAGAGTGTGTGGACCTTATCCATTATTTAAATAAACTTGTCCTAGGATAAAGCGCACTTCAAGTTTGTAACAATTCTTACAATGTATATTAACATTTTTTTTTAATTTCTAGAACTCGGCAACGGAGTAACAATAAAAGTCTTAAAATTATTGATTTTGGACAGTATTGATTTCGTGCAAACGTGGTTTTTGATAGCTTTTTGCGAATAACACCGTATGGATTTCGTTTAGCATTGAGTTTTTACGAGTAGAACACATAGTAAGATGTAAAGCTGTCTAACGGTAAGAACATTACAATCATCATATACTTTCATGGTGCTGTATGTAATTTTTTTAATTAGTATAACTTTCAAGATCGATCTATATTCAAATTATCTTTGCCAATTTAATTGATCTATATACATAGCAAGATATTTAACGGAAGAAACATTTTCTAAGGCGCTACACTCGCAGATGAGAGAGGTTTTGCTAGTGTGGGCCGTTAGCTGTAGATTAAGAGGTTGTAGAGAGTTAAGAATAGAAAATGTAATGTAACAAGTTGTATTAATATTTAAAGATAATAGACTGTTTTTAACCATTTAGTTACTATTAGAAAGCCTCTCTCCGCTTTGTTATATACATCCTGCCAGCTTATCATCAGCGTAGTTTATAAGACTAACATTAGTCATTAATGTAGATAAGAAACAAGGTTACTGTGGGAAACCATACAGAGATGTAGGCTCTACTGAACTGTGAGATTATCAAGTATCACAGAATACCACCATAAAATAGCAGCTTAACACTGCTGTGTTTCGTATGGTGAGTATAGAGAACCGGAGGCCCTTTTTACTGGAAAAGAGGAATTCCATCGTCCTCACGGGTGACAACCCATCTGCATTTTGATTCTTTACTGAGGATAGATGTGGATGTCTAGGGATCACAGCAACCACTTACCATCAGGTGGACTGTGTACTCGTTTGTTACCCTATCCTATAAAAAAAATATACCTGTTGGGCTCTGTCATTAAGGTAGTCAGTGAGAAGGGTGTGAAAATATTTATATTGCAACACCTAACTCAAATATTCACCGCTCCATGGGTTGACTGGTAGATAATGCCTCAAGGCACTAAGCTTTGCATTCTTTTGTTTTAAGGAATGCAATAAAGAATAAATATAAATAAAGAATAAATGTGACGACACGCGCGCTTCGTTTCCAGGAAATCAACAATAGAAAAATTGCTTTCCCTGATATTTTATTCACATGTTAGAGAATACTAAGATTTTTATTCAATATTGTAATATTAAGACTTTAGATATTTTGATTAGTCATAAACTTTGTACATTTTGTTAATTTTTCGTAGATAAGGAATCACATTTTTACAGTAAATTATTCTACTCATTCTACTCCTTCTACTCATCCTATTCGATTCTACTAGTCATTAAAACTATCTTTGGTCAAGCTTTTATTTAAGCAAGAAAGATATGAACAATTATCGTCCAATAATTATTTTGTCAGTTTTCTCCAAAATATTTGAAAAAGCTATGCATAGGCTTAGCCATTACTTTAATGAACAAAATTTTATAAAAAAAGAACAGTATGGCTTTCAGCAAAATAAACCAACCATGATGGCATGTTTTGATCTACTAAAAATAATCATCGATGCAATAGATGATAAGGTAAATGTAACAAGTGTATTTTTTGATATGTGAAAAGCATTTGACTTTGTTTGCCATAACACCTTATTACGTAAGTTTGAAAAGTACGGGATAAGAGGACTGCCATTGCACGGGATAAAATCATACTTATCATCAAGAAAACAGTGTTATAAAATTAAATAAGTAAAAATAATGTTTTGACAAAATTTAGATCGCGACTAGTTCTTAAGTACGCTGGAGTCCCTCAGGGAAGCATTCTTGAGCCTTTTTTGTTAGTAATTTATGTAAATGATTTACCGGATTCAACTCCATTCCCATGCATTTTGTTTGCGGATGACACTTTGATCATAAAAAATAATCATGGAAATAAACATTATTAGGAATTTCTGGGATTAAAACTAGATAGTAATTGTAATTTGATGGCTCATATTGACGAATTTGTAATAAAATTAATAGATTTGTATATGTTTTGAATAGGTTAAGAAGAAAATCGTCACGTTTAACTGCCCTCATTGCATATCATGGTTATGTTGCAATAATACTAAGATACGGATCGTTAATTTGGGGTAATAGCTCTTATTCAAAAAGAGCTTTTATAGTTCAAAAAGTGTTTGAGAGATTTAACTGGGGCCAAATGGTATGAATCGTGTAGGCCCTTATTTAAGAATCTTAACATCCTAACTTTACCAGGCATGTATATATTTGAAGCAAGTGTTCTCGTAAAAAAATACACATATACAAAATAGCATCTGAGGTATATTTGCGTAACACTCGAAAATCTAATAGACTAGTTTTAGAACATATACCTAAAACTCTCGTAACTCGTACATGGTTTATGGTTAAATATTTCTGCAAAGAAATGAAACAAAGGTATATCGTTGATATGTCATTTATTTATTAACTTAATTAATGGCTGCTTAGTGCTAAAATAAAATATATACCTACTATAATTCTTTAAAAATGTCGCTTACCAATTTAAAATAGTTTCTAGTTTTTGAGACCACATTATTTTAGTTTCATAGAATTATCTTTTACACCAATGAGCGTAAATGAGAAAAGATATGGTGCTCTTTTCTACGTTTAATCATGTACCTATAAGGTACAACGATTAAATCTACTAGTACATTAACAATGTTAACATTTTTATATTCCGTGGTTAAAATCGCCTATCACAGACAAATTTTAAAAATAATTTTTGCAAATATATAAAATAAAAAAATTTCAGCTAAATGAAAAATTGGAGCTAAATAAAAAAATTGAAGCTAATAAAAACATTTGAAGCTATTTTAGCTCAAAATTTATAGCACGCGAGCAATATTTCACGCGCCACTGAACTTTTTTTTGCATATTTAATTGCTAATTTTAATTGCTAATTATTATTATTCGGCAGTGAAGGAAAAAATAAGTGGTCCGACCCAGCAGCACTTTATTATTTATAAAACACTAATCGGGTAGTCGGCATAGCACGGATAGCTGCCGCCTGGGCCTCTAGTGCCAAAAATGACGCCACACACGCTTTTGCCATTTTCAAAGTATCTTAAAAAAATAAAAAAATAAATCATCAAAAAGTCTTCTAGAGTTTGTATATTATTTTAAAATTAATAAAACAATTTAATGTATTTTTTAATTATCTTGGCAAGCGCATGTTGTGTTGTGTGTTTTTTTGTTTCTTTTTTCAGAACTTGCAATGTTTTATGTTCGTAATATATTTTGATCAAAAGTATACAGTAACAGCTTATTTTTAGATGTTTTGAAATTTCACTAGCGTCATTTATAAAGATAAGGCGGCCTGGACGGCATATTTTAGGTGGCGGCAATTTCATCACCAAAATGCCGACACCTAAAATCTACCGTCCGGTGCAATGCCCATCCCGGCCCTGGCTTATTGCTACACTGCTAACATAGCTTTCCGCGTCGTCGCTTGCGTGGAATTCGTCTAGGCAAGAGCAGAGAAAAAACCTGAAAGGCTCTTTGTTATTTTATTCCATGATATAATGTTATGTACCTCTCTACTAATACTAAATACAACTCAAATCCTTTCAATCTTTAAAGCATAATTAATTCACATTTATTATATAAATAAGCAGTTGGATTATATCTACGGTTTTTTTTTGCAGCAGGCAGTCATAATGCACACGAAAAGCTTGTATAAACTTTAGCAGGAGAAATTCTTCGGCATTTTAGATGTTTTTCTTACTCCTGATAAATGCTTTTCTATATAATACCTACATAATATAGTGTGCCAATAGTATATAAGGTATAACATACTTAATCTATATCCAGCTTTCGAAACGCGCCAACGGTACCGTATATATCACTATCGAACTTTGGCTGCGGTGTGACGGTCGATAGCTCGCTGAGTTCTCGAAGGTAACCCCTCAATTCGTCCACACGACGGATCCACTTCTTAGTGATGATGTCAAGAGACTCCTCTTGGCCTCCCCACTCTGCAGGCAACACGCGTGCCGGGAAGTGTTCCAGCAAATCCTCAACTTTTTGGTGTATGTAGTACTGTAATATGGAAAATATACGTATATTTATTACAGCTATACATAAATTCATAGAGGTCACTATACCTAATACAAGAAGAATGGATAACCTGTTTGATCGAAATAACCTTTTACACGCGTATTTATTGCAAAACTAAAAAAAAATGTATTAATTATCATGACTAAATATATTTGATATGTTGTCTGTTGTTTACAAGCTGTATTAATAAAAAAAATTTACGGGTGACCGTGATGAGTGGATCCGAGACTTCCTTAATGTTGTTTTTGAAAATGTATAAATTAATGATTACATAATCATTTGAATCTAGATTTTAACATAATAATATAAATAAAAAATAATATATAAATTCAATATAGGTAGGTGCTCAATTATAATCAACTGAATGGTGAAAGTTCATAACGTAACATACCGGTGGTCCAAATAAGTTTCATTTTAAAAATGCAATAAAATGAACAAAAATACCCTTTTATCCAAATATTATGGCTATAGTAGATAGAGCAAACATTTCCATTATACATAGAACTCTTTTTCATTCATGTGGCTGCCCAGGCTAGCTTTGCAGTATCTACCTATATCTTTTCCTATCCTGATCAACTGTCCCATCGGTTTTTAACGGTACTTAAGACTATCTTGCTGAAACTGTAGGTGATCAAGTCTATGTCTTTGTTTTTGAGCCCCAGATGCTTCAGTTTTGCTAGTTAAATAAATGGAAAATGCGCCTCATCAGAAAATATGGTATTTCGTCCGCTTTTTGCTGTTCCAAGGCCCAAGTTGAGCAGCGAGAGTTTTGCCTACATAGCAGTTACTTACTTTAATAATAAAATTTTGAATGTTTCCGACGTTGATCGATTCATTTTGTCACGCGGATTTATTACTTTGTACTAATTTTTTGACAACATTTTCAGCGGGAAAGAGTGATCAGTTTCGAAATAACTTATTTAGCAGGCGAACAAACTTTAAAAGCAAATTTACCATTTATCCATAAAATTACTATAGGTACCACCGAAAACATTGCAAGCAAACGAAATCAAAATGTACCTAAGTGAATATAAATTAATACTCGCATTAATTTATGTAATGTGTATATATACGAGTATAGGTAGGTGTCTGAAGTTGTAATCTCAATAGAAGGTATAAGTTATTCTTGCGGCATTGATTTCGTCAAATTTGTATTATAAAGGAATGTATCTATTATACATATATATATATTTGAATTGGAAAGGGTTTTGTATATAATTTATCGTCTTTGGGTCGTTAAGATATTAGATAAATGTAGTCTAGATTCTGTGATGTTAATGCTGTTAGCCTATGCAGCTCTTACAGCTTCACCGGACACAGCTAGGCTTAACAGGCCGCGTGTGCTTAATAATTTTTAAGACTGTTTGTTTTAAGATTTCATTATACGCAATCAAATCAAGTTTGATCGCTATCGGCACCAATAACATCGATAAAAGGCATCTCAAGCGCTGATATATTACCTGCTCGGAAGTAAAGGAAAAGATCGCAAGGAAACCTGCAGTTTGAGGAATTAGAAATATTAGGGCACGTAAAGTCTACCAACACTCTCGTATTATCTATGCGACTTATCTATTATGTATGACTCTTTCCTGCCCTTAAAAACTCTTAGAAATGTGAAGACGCCCCTTGTGGAAATTATACTAAAATATGATATTGCTTTAATTTATTTTACTTTACACTCTAGCTCTTACAGCTCTATAGCTCTAAAAAATGACAGAAGAATGAACCAGTACGAATGAAACTCCTTAAAATATATATATACTAAAGCTCAGACCAAAAAAGAACATTAAGCATAGCAAAACCTATTGCTGTAATTAAATTTCAGGTGCAGTTAGGGTTACCAGACGTACTGTATTTTAAAGGCCATCCTCTATTTCAGACCTAGAAATCATTTCATTTATTTGAAATCTTTATGTGAGGACATGGCAGTATCGCGCGTATACAACATTCCCTCTGCTAGTTGAGGTAAGAGTTTAAAAATCATTGTATTGACGGTCATAAAACAAACCACAATTCTTGGATACTTACACGTCTCTTGATCTTCTCATTCACGCAGGAACGTATAAAATTGATAGAGGAGGCAATAAGTGGCGGTGCACCGACGATATGAATACGACGCATCCGCTGCGGGTAAGCGCCTTGTGCAAGGTGAATAGCACGACGTACGGAGTTGGCTGCACTCGCTATGCGCGCTGCGAGAGACGCGCGTACGTTTGACGCCTGTGTTGTAATATTCAGGAATTAAAATCATAACAAGTGGGTTATTCCATTTATCCACCTTAAGAAATCAACCCTAAGGTGGATAGTCGGAAACGCGGGTTCATTGTGGATAGTCGGAAACGGAATTCGTATATTATTTTTCTTCCGAATTTCTCCCTCGGCTGTGTATAGTCGTTTATAAAAAAATGATAGAAACTGGCCCAAGATTACTTAGTAGACATTAGCATACTTATAAAAATACATACATACTTCTTGTTTAAAGCAGGCTGGTGCAACTTCCATAGTAAAAATTATATGTACGAAACAGGAGCAAATTTTAGTGGCGGCGGCTCTCCTTTTTACGTTTCGTAATATGTTTATCATAGACATTGTCAAATCAAATAGGTTCAATTGTCAAATCAAACGGTTGCATTTATATTTATTTTAAATATTAAGATTGCTTTTAATTTTGCTATAGAAGCCGTTGTACATGGACGGAATTGTTAAAAAATTAAATATATATGCATTAAAAAACTTACCAATTAGATGGTGTAAGAAGCGAAAAAACTAATAACAAGAAAATGCTATACATAAAATATTTCCCTTGGATAATGAAAGGTATGTGGTGATTTCAACTTTAACTGTTAGACGGGATATGAAACTAACCATTAGCAGATATAACAGCTTAGCGCAGATAGCTGAACTCCAAATCTCAAGATCTCCAAATACATGCGGTTATGCTACTTTTGTACCAACCGTTTGTATCTGACAAGAGATAAAATTATCTTGTCCTTATGCCGTAGCACGGCAACGGGGAGAAGCATATCCCCGTTTGACATAACGAGTAGACATAATATTATATCCCACGTCCGTAGCATGAAGCCAAAGGAAAGATAAAAAGTTATGCTTTTTTGACATTTGAAAGGGACAATTTTATCCTAGTTCATTGAACGTGGGTTTCAGTTTATATTATTTATAAAGAAAATCTAAGTCTATCTCCCATTTTATCTACTGTGGATATTATATCCACAGGTGTGCCCATGCTCGAAGGGTGGGTAAAACTAAGCGAGGGGATAAACATTTTCTCCTTTCCCCGGGGATAAAATTGTCTCCTGCCCATGCTAACACTGCAGGCATCATCGAGTCAGCAGACTTGCATTCGCACATGAACATGTGAGTTGGGATATGGAACAGTGGAGCCAAGCCAAGTACTGTTCACAGATGAGTCCCGCTTTTGCTTACGAGTTTTGTTTGTCAGATATTCTTTGCCAAGGAATGACTTAAATAGCAGTTAGACATCATACCAAAACAATTTCTAAGACAAGTACCTAATTACTTAAAATGCAGTGAGTCGTTTTATTGCCAAATAATAATCTAATTAGTCGAAAAGTTGAAAATCGACCAAGTTTTAAGATCCTAGGTAATAAAAATTGGAAAGTTGACATGGTATCAATTACACAATTACGAATTGATTATGGACTTAATTATTATGCAAATATCTATACAAATAAATAAAATTTAAGTGTCTGTTTGTAATGTCAAAATAACAGTTTTTTACTCAATGCGGGTAAGGTTTGAAAGTAAGTCGCCTGAATTGGGGGTGGTGCGGTGGTAAGGGGAAGGAGTTGTAGAGTCACCCCCCACTTCCCTTTCCTGCCGAACGTGCTTAGTTTTATTTTATAAATTTTTAAAAATCTCAATTTGAGGTTACGTTTTCGTAATATTTTTATAATATACTGATTAATGAGGGGAAAGACTTGGGGAAGGGTAACCCAACGTCACTCAACGTGGCGCAGTCGAGGGAAGCTCAGTCGATGGAGCCCCACTCGGCGGGGCTCCTACTTTTGAGTGGTTTATAAAATAATAACGACGAAGGGGATGGCGGGGTCTATTCACTCGCTTCGCTCGATTAGTCGACCCCGCCATCCCCTTCTAACCTAACCTGTCCGAGTAGGAATGCCACAAGTAACGAGCTCGCTTCGCTCGCTCTTGCACTCAATAAAACACCAAGACATTAACTTTTATAATTACTTTAATAATACAATCTGAGCGTCTTCAAGGCAACAGGGAATAAGTTTTTGTTACGCTAAGATAGTGAGATTTACCATTTAGGGATGCATCACCACTTACTACTAGGTGGGATTGTGGTCAAGCATAATAAGTAAAAAAAAATTATAAACACAATTTATAGCTGTCACCATTTATAAAAAAGGATCTTTGCGAAATTGGCGAAGCTTAGCGAAGTCATTGAAAAACAGGAGGAGACAGAGAAAAACGTTAGGAAACACATTCATGTAAACTCAGAAGTAACGGAATGACGTAAAGTATATTCTGTCAATGTCAACAAAATGGCCGGCTTATAGCGAACCATTTTATAACTATAAACTTTTATCATTTTTCAGATGACTTTGACAGATTCAACGTCAATAATGTTAGAATTTAGTGAAATGTACGTTCCATTTCACGTTTAGTTAGTGATTTTCCAATACTTTTAAAAAAATAATTAAAAATACTTCGACACTGGTCCGGCAGCAAAAATCGCATCTTCAGATAAATCGCCGTGACCTCCTCACAGTGACAGAATCCTCAAATTCAGGCGACTTACTTTCAAACCTATATACTATATACTTACGTTACTTATAACAAAAACATAATTTTTAAATTTTTTGTCTGTCTGTCTGTTTGTTCAGGCTGATCTTCAAAATGGCTGGACTGATTTTGAAGGGACTTTCACTGGAAGATAGCTGATGTTATAAGGTTACTCCTTAGGCTAGTTTTATCTGCCGACTTCCAAAAAGGAGACGGTACTCAATTCGACGCGTATGTTTTTTTTATGTGTGTTACCTCATAACTTTTTACTGGGTGGACCGATTTCGATGATTCTTTTTTTATATGAAAGCTTCTCGTGTGGTCCCATATGAATTTGATCAAGGTCAGACCAATAGTTTTTGAGTTATTGGAGTTATTCTTAATAACTTATATTGAAGTCGGCTGTACAAAATTTTTAATTTTAAATTATTTTAGAAATAGAAATGGGGTTCCACACAAAAAAAATTAAAACCCTAAATTACACGCGGGCGAAGTTGCGGTGAACGGCTAGTTATTATAATAAAAATGTATATTCATACCTCCCAGATGAAAACATCACCAGCTAGAAGAGTTTCGTCATGCATTCGTGCATCGCCGACCAACAAAATAGCCCGCACGGCTGCCACTATATCGGCTGAGCTTTCTGGATAACTTTCTCGAACACGAAATATCGTAACTCGTAGACCCTCATCTGTGAGTTTCGGTAAAGGCGCTATGTCCCTGGTAGTAGACGTAAGATAAATTAATACACTTTATCAATATTCTGAAATTATACAACTATCTCAGATATCATAGATCACTCAAAATTCTCGGTAAGTAAAGGTTCGGTCGAGGTTTTAATCCTTATTCTCCTTACCTCAAAACCCCATAAAAAGTTCGATACCATAGTAGGCAGGATTTGCTGAAGTCTCTCATATTTAACGCTACTTCTACTACATAGGTATCCGGGAAATCGGTCCAAAAACGTTACCACATGTTAAGCTAAAGTGGCGATGGGCCCGCCATATAGCTCGAAGAACCGACAACCAATGTGACTTACCGGTAAGCAAAATATGGAGCCTACATAAATAGCAAATATAGTGATAAAAATATACCTACACCATCATCATCATTATTACAGCCCACCATAAGGTCACAGCTGAATATAGGCCTCCCGAAAGGAATACCACAAAGGTCTTGAGCAAATTCATCCATCGACTTCCTCCATCTCTTACCAGGTCGTCACTCTAACTAGTGGAGGGCCGCCTAACCCGCCACTTCGCTTATAGGTACGAAGAAATGTCCTTTCTTCTCCAACGGCTGTCCGTTTTCACGGCTATATTATGGCCGGCACATTGCCAGTTGCCGCTTCAGGTTACTAAAGATCAACGAGACTTGACCGCTTCGTGGATCTAGTGGTCGGAAGTAGACTATTGAAAATGTGGTCCGAGGTCGAAACCCGGGTCCCGTGGTGTTTTACCCCGTGTAAAGAAAAAGCAAGTAAAGCGGTTTGTCCTGCGCCTGGACTCTGTCCGGTTGTGTTGGATTGACATCCCATCGGGCTATAAGAGAGTGCACTGACGGTGCTGTGCGATAATCCTGTCTTAGCTTAAATAACTAGTCTCCGTTGAGTTGAGACTGGCCGTCGGCGCTTCTGCAAAAAACTGCATTTGCGACTTGTCGCCGTTAGTAATAAAATGGGTTGGTTCTTTCCTCGCTCAAAGGTGAAGTTATAGCTATTCAATGAGTAAACGTAGCCAGCGTTCTTGGCATTATACAGCAGGAAGTCGGACTGTATGATAATTTAATTAAGGTAATAATTTTTTTATACTTATTCAAAATAAAAGCAGCCCTTTTTTACTTATATTTTAAAAATATAACAATTAATTAGCTAAAATCCCCGTAAAAAATTCAACCGTAGTTAGCGGATATGAACTAATTAATTGTAACATCTTTTGTAATAACTTTGGTTCAATAAAATATGCATATTTTCAGGGACTGTGGTAAAAGCGTGTGTACCTGTACATTGCCCGATGAAAGAATTACCGACCCTTGGGAGTTGAGTAACTGGTATTGTATAGCTTATACTCGTTCCTTACAGAACACGATTATAGTGCACTTGTGTGCGCAGACACGTGTGTGCATGTTCTATTTCCTCACTTTCATATAGTCTGGTAGTAGGGACGGCAATTCGACACGACCGGAGTGAGATCCACCGCAGGACCGGCATTACGTTCTTTCTGAGGTAAGGGTGTGAAACTGTGCAGACTTCTTAACTCGACGTTGCTACCGATAATTTTTAATAGAAAAAACCAAAATAAGTACTGATTTTAGCGCGACCCGGGATTCAAACCCAACGAGGCAGCCAACATATACCGAGAGGTGAAAGTTAATATCATATTATATTTATTAATTTAGGTTTTTCAAATAAAGGAGAATGGGACTTTTGGGCCTGAAGTTACCTAGTTGATTTATACTTTAAAAAAATTGGCTATATTTTTCTAAAGTAAAATACAAAAAAGTAGCTCTGTTTAAAATCTAGAATTCGTAAAAACAATAAAATAAGAAATAAGGTAGAAAATCTATTGTACTAATACAATCGATTTTATATTTATTCGGATACAAAAAGAAAATGAAGTAGCATGCAAGGTTTCATTAAATTCTATTATATACTTTGAATGATATATTCATTTGGAAATAAAATATATTATTTGTTTATGGAAAAAAAGAAAAATAAACTTTTTATGACAATAAATCGATTATCGATTCGAAATTCTCGTTTCTGAACGTTATCATCCAATAAAGGATTTCTGATTTTGAAACTTGAGAGTTCAAACTTCAAACTATTTATTTAAAAGAAAAAGACAGATTTTCGATTCGATTTGAAACGAGCGCAATATAATCGATTCTCGAATAAATTGAGCATATTAATATCTATTTTCGATTATTTTTCTATGTTAAGTAGGGAGATAAAAATAATTACGAACATATCTACAAAATAATAATAAAAAATACAAAAACATTCCAACAAACATTCCAACAAGTAACAGTAACAACACCAATTCAAGTAATCGATATCAGATCGATATCCCTAATATTCACTTCACTTAGTTGTTGTTGTTTCTTTCGATAGTCGTTTCACCATTTCGTTTCCTTATTAACCACAGCTTTTCTTTAGGGACTTCATACTGATTCTGCTTTTATATCTTTAAGTAGTTATAGTGAAAAATAGCCTGTTACCGTGTAATAACAGTGAAAAATCACCTGTTACAGTGTAGGTAATACATCATCTGACTTTTACTTATTCTACAATAACTCAGCTCCTAGATTGACAAACCTTGCCAGATTTTCAGCTATGAATTACTTATATATACGCTTTCAAATGGTCCTACTTTCATCTTGTTAACACCTGGGCCCAAGAATGTATGGAGACGTCTCCTTCTCCTTTTCAAAGAGAGATAGAGGAGAGTTTTTTTCCAGCAGTGGACATATCCGGTTTGATTCGGTAACATTAGGGAAAGTATTAAGTGACTTTGTAGTCAAGATCGATCTCATTCAATTCATCAGTTTTCAAACGCCGTTTGCAATAATATCTTGATGTGTTTATTGACTTGAAGCGTAAAACCATAAAATAGGCGGGCACATGAGGGGTTAAATTATAATTTATTTATAAAATTCATTTAAAATTCTGAGTTGTGTAGTTTCATTTTGTTCATAGCTCATAGTTCCGCTATTAATTATACTCCACGTCATTTTAAATTTATTTTAGTCATCTATAGTAGTCTTATTTAAAATTGTTGCCTAATTTTTTTTTGTAAAGAATTGGCCATTGAGCACACTGTTTCAAATATTGTAGAATTTTTTTTAATATCTCAATACGATTATATTATTTTTTATTGTAAAGCTCATATTTATTACCTTTCTTATGGATTCCTGGTATTAACCACTCATTGAATTATTTGCGACTGTCTTTTAGAAATTTGAAGCGTATAAGTTTAAGTTTACTGAAAACATAAATGAAATACTTGTAACTTTTAACTAAAAGTAAAAACAGACTTGAAATTACTAAAAAAAGTTATTTATTTGCTACTTTTGGTGGTGAAATTTTTTCTCCAAAGTTATATTAGATCCTTGAAGTATAAACTATTTTATCAAAAAAGTATCTTCAAAATAATTTCACAATCTGGGTCTTCGCGTTGTCTAATATACATACAAAAAAACATACACTCGAATTGAGCACCTCCTCCTTTATTATGTCGGTTAAAAAGAGAGATAATTTTCGTATTAACGATGTTGGGGCTTGTTGGTTTCGCCGATAAAGAATTGAGATCTGAAAACTGAAGAATACAATCGCCAATTTGCCTTGCGTATTGCCAACTGCAGAGGTGTAAGAGAGGGTGGCGTTATATTCCCGAAACTCCTCACCGCTGCATTGGAAGTTTGGAAGACATTGTCAAGCTACTGTACGGGTAAGAATACGGTTTTAACATTAATAGCGAAACATTCGACTCACCTTCGATTTGCCTTTTGCCTTACCTTTTTTTTATGTTAATCACTATTTTCTTATTTTAAACTTATTGAAAATTATTTTCTACTTTTTGTTCAGTTATCTACAAAAGCGTGTTTTTTTATAATGATTTCTTATATCTTATTATTTCTGTTTTTTTAGTTTTTTTTAAACTATTATTTATTTTCTTTTTTTTTTAGTACGGCTAACTACAAAAGTGTGTTTTTTTTTTGGAACGAAGTTCTTTAAACGCGGCTTACAGTAGAGTGAACTAGCAGAAATCGTAGTTGTTTTATGATTACATATTTGCAAATCCTGAGGATCCTGGCAAGGATAATGGGACAAACTATTTAAATTATTGCATTGTCATAAGTACTTGATAAGTGTGCATGTTTTGAAGGGGATCTAAATCACATTCAAAAATTCCGTTACATAGATACATACCAAGCTAATAAAATCGTGTTAAAAATAAGTTATTTATTTGTTATCCTTAGGGGTGAAATTTTTCTCTAAATTTATATGGGGCCAACCTTGTAGTATAAACTATTTATTAAAAAATAATTACCATAATTGATTCACAATCTGCGAAGATATCGCATAAAATTCATATAATAAAAAACATACACCAACCAGTCATCAACCATGTATACATTTATAATATCCCTTTTTAACTTTTTATACAGTTTTTGTTTAATAAAATATTTAAACTTGGTAACAGTGACCTTGTAAATTTTCTAGGACTTTGTTGTAATAGCGTATACTGTATACATTGCCCAGGACTGAATTACTGACTCTGTGGAGTCGAGAAACTGGTATCACTGCTCCTATAGTATTTACAGAGTGTATATCACTTTTTTTTTGCTAAAACTTCTTTTGTTTTTGTGAACATACATAAATTTTTCGTAAATATACTGACTACTGAGCCAACTGCTGTGACCAAAGTTAATATATTTATTTCTTAAAACTTTCTTTGAGAGATTCTCTCGGTCTCGAGTTGTAAATAACTTGTATGGCCCTCTACTGCAAAACAAAAATAATTTCTAAAACATCCGCATTTCCCAACCCGTATGGGATTTTGCTATAAAATCAAATCCCATAAGGGTAGAGGATTCTCTAACGGCGAGAGAATCAGTAATTGAGTTAAATATATAAAAATATAATTGTGTTACATACATTAAAAGTACTTACAGAAATTTGACTACATCATTTAATGGTGGTTCGCTAAGAGAGCGATGCTCGTAGAGGTCCCGGCACCGAGCTCTGGCAAAACAAAACGCCTCAAACTTTGCACGGGCGCGCTCTTGGTTCATACGACAACCTCGCATAAACAAGCCCAGGATGTTTGTATCTGAGAACGAATACAGAACAACACATTAAATTTAATTTCAAGCAACAGTAGCCTATTGCTTAAGGGTACAGACAAAAGTCGCCGGTTCAAATCTACTATCGTAAATAACCAGTTCGGGAGCGCTATTCCCGAGCTCCCGCAGCCACAGCCTACGCACGCTAACACAATGTGTATGTGCACTCTCTACTATTGTGCTGAAGACGGGTGCGCCGGAGCTAGCACTGGTTCACCCGGGGCACCCCAGTGTTTTCCACTTGACCGCTTCCAGCGAATAGTGGCTCGAATCATCAAAGACCGAGTTTTTCTGTTCGGCTTGATTCACTGGCTCAATTTACACGGGGAGTATTAAGACAAATTGTTCAGCAAGCACAGCGGGACAAACCCCACGGTACTATTCACACCAATAATAATAATGGCAGGGTGCGGACCGCGAACTCAAAATGTTCGAACCCGCCATTCGGCTACTGTCGTGAACCACTCTAACACAAGCATTTTCAGCTTACCAGTAGTGGTTAAACGGAAAGTTATTAAGAGCGTAGTCGGTCTGCGCGGGAATTGAGAAATAGGTATTTGAATAAACTATTGCCGTCGCGCTATATATGGTCTCCCCCCATAGAGTGCGATAGGGACAACTGCCGATCAGAACGATTTTACCTACAAAAATCATGACAGATCGATGTTTCGTATTCCCCTGTTTCCTCCTCGAAAACTAAGCCGATTAAATTATTTTTGGTATCAAAATTTAAAGGAAGAATAGATCTATGCTCCTATTACTTGTTTTTATGTTAAAAACTTTTCAAATTTCTTTGGTAGTCGTCTGATTACGGAGGTAAAAACGTGGCATTTTTTTAGGTTTTTGGTAAGTCATATTTATTTTTGTAATAATTTATTAGAAAAAAATGAATGACAGGGGCATGCCTTTAATAGACCTAGATTTTTATAAACAAAAACGATTACTCTAGAGGCATTATCCAGGTAGAGAATAGTGGAATACATTTGTATGGAAAAAATGCAGCCCGTCTACGCTCTTAATGTTATAAGCATTGCTAGAATTTTATTTAAATACAGTGACTCCTATTATCTCGGCCTCCTCTATGTGCGGTGCTATAAAGATGCTTGTTATAAAATTTAACTGTTAAAGTAAACAGTATAAATACATAATGCTAATTTTGTATTTTTTTATTTTTATATTACAACTAGCGAACTGCCCCAGCTTTGCACGTGTGATTTCTGGATTTCGGCAACAGCCCCACCCACCGGTTCCAAATAGTTCCAAATCTTCCACGTTATTTTTTACTTGCATCATCTTGAACCTAGGTACATTACTCTATCTTCGCCGCATATTGACAGGGTCACGGAAACTCTTTCACACACACCTACAACTCCACCAGTAACCTCCGCCCTTTATATTACTACTCTACGCTTCATTTTTCTGATGGGACCTCCTCGGAAGAGGACGATTCCTTTCGATATTCCATTCCAAAACCGGAACACAAGATAGCGCACTGCGCACTCCTTATTGTACATAACCTCTACCTCTACCTGCGCAATGAAACAATTAGCAAAAACGTCATAAAATTCGAAATCTACGTACTAGAGAAGCCATTTCAAACAAAAACTGTGTCCTACTCTATGTTTTGGCGCATGCGCGGGAGTAGTAGTCGCGCATGCGCGAAGACTTTAATTTGATATAAAATAAGATATTAATATAAAATAAATATAAGAATTTAATATAAAATATCTTAATTTCATCTAAACAAACAGGTTTTCTAAATAAAATGTAATAATAATTATTTTATGGAATTCACAAATCTTCAATTTACGCAATATTTAGTTTGTAGGGATTGCACTACAGTTCAGATGAACATAGTCAATGTTCGGAATGGCTTGTCTAGTACGTAGTACATATAACTCAATGGGCCCAGATGTTAACAAGATAAAAGGTAGACAATTTGAAAGTTTACATATAAACAGTTCATAGCTGAAAATCTGGCAAGATTTGTCAATCTAGGAGCTGAGTAATGGAAGATTAAATAAAAGTTAGGTTATGTATTATCTACACTGTAACAGTTGATTTTTAATTATTAGGTAATGTAAATATTTACTTTCTCAATATTATTCAAATGTTAAAGTTGGTAGAAGATTCATAGAAACAATTATATTTATAAACTCGCATACCTACTATATTATAAGATATAAACACAATACGTATGAACGTAGGTATGTACCGATGAATCCAAAATGGTGGTTAACACATAATTACTTCGCTTGTGGTGGGTTGCTGAAATAACAACATTACCTCTTATTTTATAAACTGTCCCATTATTGGGCACAAGCTTCCCTGTAATCCCAGTAGTCATGAATAGTCAACCAAGCTGACATGAATTAACTTCGAGAACACACAGGCAACCAGGGTTTATTGTCACAAATATCGGCTTTATCTTTAAAACGAGTGATTATCAATTTGCAATACGAAAATGAGGTAACTAGGAATCGAATTCATCACCTCTGATTTTGATAAATGCTTTTTTCAGCACTCATTAAATACGTATCAAATACTAGGATCCAACTAATTAAACCGCATAGGAATATGAGGTTGGTTGGTTATATCAAAGAAAAACACATTTTTTAGATATTTTAATTGTCTTGTCATCAGGTAATATCAGGTAATATCGTCAAGCTAGGTGACACTATTTTGTATGCTAATGTGCATAAAAAAGGTACAACATATTTGACATAATATTAATATAGGTTTTTATGACAGATGTAAATTCGAAAATCGAAACAACAATTAGTGAGTACCAAGTTAAGCGAACAATAGGGATGTCGACTGATTTAAAAATCTGTTATTTGGAGATAAGGAATGGACTTCATGTATAACGTCCATGTCACACCTATGCCGGTAATTGTTGGGGGCACTAAGCTCGAAGTTGTTGACGTATATGTTTACCTGGGACAAATAGTCCGACTAGGTAAGTCCAACCTCGACCGAGAGGTCAATCGACGGATTCAACTCTGCTGGGCAGCGTTCGGGAAACTATGACACATCTTCTTGTCAGATATACCTCAAAACTTGAAAACGAGACTGTACAACCAGTGCGTGTTGCCAGTGATGACTTATGAAACTGAGACGTGGTCCTTCACTGCTGGCCGTATGAGGAAGCTCAAGGTCGCTCTGAAAGCTATAGAGAGGGCTAAGCTCGGGGTTTCTCTGCGTGATAAACTTAGAAATGAGGATATCCGCCGTAGAACCACAGTGACCGACATAGCCCAACGGATTAGTAAGCTGAAGTGGCAGTGGGCCAGCCATATAGCTCGAAGAACGGACAACCGATGGGGAAAAGGGTTCTCGAGTGGCGGCCACGTACCGGCGGATGAAGAGTAGGGCGTGTCCCCCCACTAGATGGCGTGACGACCTGGTAAGATATGCAGGAATTCGATGGATGCAGGTGTCTCAGGACCGGGCTTTGTGGCATTCCTAGGGGGAGGCCTATGTTCAGCGGTGAACTTGTGGAGGGCTGTAATGATGATGATGGTGATGATGACTTATTCCTGTCTTAGAGTTACATAGTTCATGTTTAAAGAGTTTCAGATTTTTTTATTATAATTAAATATACAATTTAAAAGGGTTTTTATTCATTTTTACATATTTTTGGATGTTTTTAGTGAAATTAATTTTTCACATTAGTTTCCCTCTTTAATATAAATGTCGAAATAAATATCGTTCCATCTCTAAATTTGTTGCAATCCAAATGACCTGAAATAGTTCGTAATTATCAAAGACATTCTTTATCTTAAGTAATTATACATAATAAGTTCTATGTACAAAATAAATACGATACTCGTAAAAAAAAAAAACCACTTTGTCTTTTCTCGGTGCAATTTTACTGTTCTGAGTTTTTATATTATACGGAACTGTGTGCTGTTCTGTCTGGTCTTCACTAGGTTCGAAACCCGGATCGGGCCAGTAAAAAATCAGTTATTTTGTCAGTCAAGAAATTCTCAGGAACAGCCCGGAGTCAGGAAGTGAGCGGTGTTTACCCCCGTGCCTCGGAAAGCTCTTGCGCAGATGGCTAGTCTTCGTTGAGACTTACTTATATAGTATAGGCATCAACAATAGGTAAGTACCATTAGTTGATCTATGTGCGAAGTAATTCCGTTTCTGACAGCTACATTTAATAGTTATTTAATGACTGAATTGCAAACTTCAGTAGTGATGGCCTCCCCATCAATTAAACAAGTAGTCCAAGGTTAGTCAGCAAGACAAATATGCCTATTATTCATGACAACAGATAACAAACCTTTACTTTTTATTTCTTCCGCGCATGACAAAGAAATTACACTATCATAGATTACTGCAAACTATGCAGCTAACTATACTCGTATATTTGAGAATTCAGTATCGTTCAATTCTTACACAAAACTTAAGGGTTATGTATAAGTTATTATACATTTTATGTTTATTTTTAGTCATAATAATGCTTACTTACATAATTACAAATTTTAAAAAGCACTACTTTTAAGTTAAAAGATAACTTGTGTTCAGGGGCATCAGTTATAATGGAAAAAAAGGGTCTTTGGGTTAATATACTTTCTCAGATTATATTCTCTTTGGGTTATATTATAATATATCCTTGCGAAGTCTAGACGTGAAAAAAGCTGGTGGACCTGATGGTATACCAGCTATAGTTCTAAAAGTCAGTGCACTTGAGTTGTCTCCTGTGTTGACACGCTTGTTCCGCCTCTCATTCAGGACTGTAATAGTGCACAAATCTTGGAAGCTGGCCAATGTGCAGCCTGTGCCTAAAAAAGGTAGCCGTACCGACCGTGCCAACTATCGGCCAATTTTAATTACCTCCATACTCTGCAGGATTATGAAGCGTATATTGAACGCCCACTTCATGGCATACCTAGAGCAGAATGATATCCTCAGCGACCGCCAGTACGGGTTTCGACGAAATCGATCAACTGGGGACCTTCTAGCGTATGTCACTCACATA